AGATGTATAATTGAATCAAACATTTGGAAATTAATTAAAAATTATTTTTCTTTCGTTAGAAATAGTGTTTTGTCTATACCTACTAGTGTTATATCATCTTTTTCTATCTTYAAAAARTTCAAATTATTTTTGTATCTACCTATATTGTTGACAAAATAATAATTTWTAATAACAGAATATTTATAATTTATCGTTATCTTATTTCCTTATTGGAGATTTGGAGAGAAGGCAGTAGGATGTATAGTATTGAAATCTCCACTTAGCTTCAATGTAATTTATATTACTTTATGTAAATATTGTTTTGAMATTTTTAATAGGTGGGATTTATGCGAAATGGTGTAATAGTTGGCGAAGACTCACCTWATACCTTGATATTGAAACAAAACTCRTTAACATTGGAAGAAGCATTTTTATCACTTTGTTGTATACAAGAAAGTGAGAAAGTAAGTAATTTAAAAACTACAAAAATTATTTTAAAATTTATTAAAAATATCTATTCAACAATTTTATTGTGCGGAACGGTGTTTGTATCAAAAAAATAACTAAATTTTGATATAAATTAAATAATTAGTTATAAAAAAAAATAATAGATTGTCTTGCATACCAATTACTAATTAGTTATAGTATTTAAATTATTTTACAGATTTCCAATAAAAAATCTAAACAGGAATATTCAGTGGTTCTACCATTTAGTAAGAATCGATTAAAAAACAGTTTCTCTTGGAGAAGATTTCGAGCTCTAACATATAAAAATGCAGCAGTTTTATACAAAGACCATACGTAATATCTTTATATCAATTATTATTATTATTTTTTGAATACGGTTATTTTCAGATTTTTATTCTTTACATTTGTTTTACCTCTGGTTCAAACTATTGTGTATAATTTATGTGTTGGACATAACATTCAAAATGTAAAGTTGGGAGTGGTTAATGATGAAATAAAAAACTGTAGCTCTGATTTATATCAGCGAAAATGTTTTTTAAATGACCCAAATAATACAAAATTGAGTTGTATGTTTATTGACCATTTAAGAGCATCCAATAATTATTTGGTAAATTGTGTAAAAATTATTAAAATTACCTATGTCAAATTAAACGTTGTATTTTTCAGATCTACTTCCCAAATCTGAAGTCTGGTAATGACGCATTAAATTCCAATTTTATATGGGGTTTAATTTACTTCACTTCAAACTATACATTGACTTTGAAAAATCGTCTCAATATCTTTGTCAATAGTTATGATATAGACTTTAGCTCAGTGCAAATCACGTTAGATTCAACCAGTAATTTATTAATATAATATATAATAAATTAATAATATTATTATAATTAATTATACAGAATAATGAATACATACTAACTATTTTAGATTACATCATGAAATTAAAAATAAAGGACGATATAACTTCAACGTTTGTGAAAACATTAAAAGAAGCAACTAAGTATTGTAATATAAGTGAAAAACCATATTCTTACCCAATTTCAGTAATATATATACAATTATAATTTTTAAACTATTTTTAGCATATCATTTTCACTATGTTATTGTTTACAGATTCAAAGTATAGGAAACGTTAAAGTCACTGAATTTATTCATTCAGCTTCTCCAGGATTTATAGTTTTGTAAGTTGAATGAATCRAGATTATTAATATGGTTGACTGCCTTTTAGTCCCGTGACTCTTGTAACTCGCATCTTGACAAGTCAGAATTTTGGATATCTTGAAACTTTAAATTTTTTTTAAATTTTCATAAATTCATAAGATTCTATTTTTCACTCACTTACTATTTTATATATTATTCGGATTTTCGTCATTCCTTTTAAAGTTATTAAAATTCAGCCATTTGTATAATACTTTAGATTTTTAGCGGAGCGAGGAATGTATTGATTTTACCATGATGTGTATATTTTTTTGTGTCTGTCATCACGTTTTGGGGCAGTAAAAGTGCTTCGATTTTCGACTTCAGTACCTCGTTCGATCAGAAAGTGAATCTAGTTGGTATTTGCCAACTGTTGGGTAAAAATTCCCAATATTTTTCTTAAATAATTGGGATAAACGAACTAAAAATTAAGGAAATTTGGAAATTTTTACGCACAATCAATTTGAATCAATCAACTTTTTGATGTAACTTTAAACAAATTACCATAGATACATGAATTTTTCACCGAATGTTTATATAATAAGAATTTCTATCCACCAAGCAATTTTCAAAAAATGTCGACTTAAATTGATTTATTTATAGGCATATGAATTTTTTTATCATTACCTATTAGTTTTTATTTAAATTAATATCGATAAAAATGTATTTGGTTGGGTAGAAAAGCTTGAAAATTTAATAAAATGTTCCAAACATATTATTCCATTAACAGTTGAAAAATAAAAATAATACATAGTCACGATTTTTTTTATAAGCATTCAAAGTTTGAATTTTGACAAAATACGTAAAAATCACGAAAACTCACA